GCGATGAATTTATTAATTATATTAATTATTATACATATATGCGTTCTACTGTTTTCTTTTTTCATCATAAGAAATCTTATTAGTAGGTACATTAAAAGAATATTTTGTTGGTGACAAAAAAGGTGACACAGTGCTATTTAAAAGAAGAGGCTGCTAGAAGCGTTTAAAAAAACGTTACATTGGACACCTTGTAGAAAAACTGTAACCATATTATCGTTTCAATTGAATTACAAACTATTAGAAAAGTTAGCGTGTCGTGCTGGAAATTAGATTAGCGCATCTTTATTTTCCGTTCCATCGATGGATACTTGTACTCGGCGAATAACTGCATTCTCAACGAGCTTCGATTATCTTCGCCAAGTGCTCGGAGAGAAATTTAGCAGAAGCTAGTGGAAAAGTTTGTAATCACCTTGTTTCGCTTATTTCAATGTTTGCAGAAAGCCGGCTATCGCTCGAGAACGCCATTAACGGCTGCAATAAAACAGAACGGCACAATCTTCTCGTGCTAAAAGAATTGATCATGATTCGTTCCGGGCAACAGGAGGAAAAATGAAAAATGAAAAAAGAGACTCGATGTATGAAATGAAAAATCGTATAATTATTTTTTTTTATTAATTATATTATCAAGAATTTCCTAATGAAAATAACGAAAATATTGCTGGTGCATTAAAGTTTCGTATTTATGAAACGGGAGTGTCGAAACACCCGTTGCATCAGCAACAACGGAATACTTTCTGGAACAAAGAAAAAAGTACAGAACAAGTATCCATGCGGCAGGGTGAAGGAAGAGCGAACGCGGTGGCAAAAAAAAAATACAGAGGGGAAAGGAGTGGAAAAAAATGGTAGGGAAATCGAGATAGTTGTCAGCTCGTCGGTGATAGCAGTCGGGTGCATTATGAGGCCTCGATGTGAATTTTCAGGCCGTGGCTGAATTCGCATTTTCCAGCTGAAGAATGACGCGTCGCGTCGCGTCGCATCCGTGGTATCAGCCCAGCCAACTTCCGCAACTCTATAGTATCTCTATTTGTTCTTGCATCCACGTGTGTGCATCGGTTATTTGCGCCAGGCTGGAATGCATGCACAGGTTGCCGAGGCAGGTGTGTTTGCTAGCATCTCGAGGCCGCTCGAAGAAGACCGGTGCGTGTGCGAGCGCGTAAACGCGGATCACTTTTTTCCTGGTTCGAGCACTAACGCGCCTCGAGAGTCCATCCACGAGACAGAAATTACTAGGGCCGAGGCTCGATTGCAAGCCCTCCGGCATGGAATGAGAAACCAGGCGATCGAAGCAACGAGCAAGAATACAATGAAATAGCTCATGTTTCTTATTGTTTAGTTTTACTGAAGATATCAAGGTGTCAATTTTGTTTCTTTAAATTGCATTGTGTATGTTTATACCTAAAAGTTAAATGTTATAAACCTTGTTATTCTTTACAAAATAGTATTATGGTTGAACAAATATCTTAGGGAGAGACTCTCTCGCTAAAATGTCTTGCAAATTAATGAATATTTCATCCAAATACTATAGAGTTGTCAAAATTTTCAAAATTTTCAAAATTCTTCAAAACGATCTCTTGACGTTAAAAAAAGGAGGGGTTGAAAGAATAAAACGTGTCCAAATAAGCACCTTGAAAAACATTTCAAGAAATTGGTTAATTTCTGACCCCGATAACGGAACAGACTCCTAAAGTATAAAAAGAGAAAGAGAACAGGTAGGAAGTCAATTGGTGTCTGCTTCATTAACGAAGGCAAGGGCACCGTGGCTTAGAAAGATTGGAAGGTCGACGTGGGGATGAAAAAAAAAGGAAGGACAAGCCTTGAGGGGTAGAAAAAGAGAGGACGCAAAGTCGTGACGGTCAAGTCGTGTTTCAGCTTAGGTTCAGTGTAGCTCAGGATTGGATCGGAGATATAACCGCGAGGACGTGGGCGGAGGAGCCGTCTCAAGCTTTAGAAGCTTTAAGCAGCCCCATTTTTTCTTCGCTGAGATTTTTCGAGGGTGGAACAGGCTGAGATTTACTTTTCCTTTGATACGGGGGCCGAATGAATAATAATAGCGACGATGGGGAGGAATGGCTGGAACGTAAAGCATTCGCAACCAAAGGATATTTTCAGAGGTCTTAAAAAATGAAACCCCTTTTTCACTTCTTTTTTACAACTTGATATGTTGAAAAATAAATATGTGAAATTTGATTAGTCACGTTCAAACATGGGCAAATTATAGTTACAATTTACAAACAGTTTTAGAAAATTAAAAACTTTACAAGTATTCTTTACCACCAAAATGTGGGACGTGAAAAGCCGTAATTTTGAATTAAATTTTTATTCCGTATCATCCAGAGTTTTGTAAATATTCACAATTTTTTTTAACAGGTAGTTCCACCCAGAACTACATTTTTATAAAGCTTCTAATGCTTTCTTTTATTTTTAGTTTTCTAATAATTCCCCTTTCCAGTTCATTTCCAATTTTCCAATTTTCCAATTTTCTTGAAAATGACACATCTTTCAACGAAATCATACATTCTACATTTTTTCCATTTGTTTCTACAGATAAAAATCAGCGTATTCGGTTGTGTTATTCACTGGCGAGACACCAGGTATACAGTGTGTAATCATCTTGTTACGTTTATTGATGTCTCGCGACATGAGTACGACTAGGGGAGTAATTCGCGTGATAATTTAACCTGACGTGAATTAACGTACTTACATCCTGGCATGCCTTGATGTAATGTGCTTTGCTGTTTCTTATTTAACTTGAATTCTGCTATGATTTCAGGGACTGATCATTTTACAGCAGCTAATAAGGTTTAAAAATTGGAAAAATTCTTAATTATTTCTCAAACGAGTTCCTCTATATGTATTTCAATAATAAATATTTTTCGTTATTAAACCTTTGGTTTAAACGATGGAAATGAATATCCTTATTTTTATTCTTTTATCCTTTCCTGTGAGAAACATTTCATTTTATATCAATTCCATTCACGATAGTAAACACTTCTCCCTGCTTGAATAACATTTTTACCATTTCGAATGGTTCTTCAGATCGTTTCTACGCTATGTTCAAGTTTTCGGAGCTGTATATTAGCCGCATTTATATGAAAACTTTCTTTCACCATACACACAATCGCCCTTTCTTTGCAAATGGTATGCTTCTCTAGACAATATAGGTACTTATGTTCGCAGTTTTTACTACTTTTCGGTTCTTTTTCGCATTTTCGAGTTTCAGTTATACCTACCTAGTTTTAAAAGAAAAGAAGTTTCAAACAAATTTTTCAATTGTTGATTACATAATTATGAATGAAAAGAAAAGAAGAAACTTCTTAACTATAAAATTTCGTCTCTCATGTAAAACTTTATATTATTATTTAATTTGTTTTTAACAAATTTTTATAGTTTTACAAAACACACTATCCCAAGAAATCTTTAATTAGTTCATTTTAAATCAACCGATGACTTTGAATTTGAATTTGAATTTGAATTCATCATTTTGAAAAAAAAATAGTAATCCCTTTTTACTCTATTTCTTACTTATTGTTAGATTTTTTAAATATTTCATTATCAACCTATATTAAAAAATACTTGAATGATTGAAATTCAACAAGCTTTCTTTCCATACTAAACAATTTACGATAAAGTTTCTAATATCACCAACAACGCTCTAAAGTATTTCATAGTACATCATAAGTGAATTTAAGCGCAGATAGACATCAACAGCGCAGCGGTGGAAAGGTTTAAAGCTTTTAAACTTCCTTTTTAATCTCTTCATTGCGCGAGGTATTTGGATGTAAAGGGTGCATTGTGTGGACGGTATACTTGTGTATCAACGCCAGACGCTTTCAGGCAAATAATGCAGAAATTATTCATCATTTCCATTCTACGCATCTTCTAAATCATTTTCCTTGAAAATCAAGCCCTTGCACTCGAGACGTTTTAACTCTTTACACGCAAAAGGCGTCTCGTTGTCTGGATTGACGCAATTCAAAGGAAAGCAACTGACAGGAAATGATTAAATAATTATTTTATAAACTTATTTTAATTTCTCTTTTTAACTCTTTGCACTACTTTATCCAATTTTATTCACTTGTATCATTATCAATAACATAGTTTCAATATGTTATATTTAAAATGATTAGTAAATAAAAAAAAGTATATATCCTAATAAAGGATATACATATGTATATTCCGGTATGTTAGCAAACAATATCAAAAGAAGAAATAACAAAAAAAAATTATTATATGCTGTGTTCATTTTAAATCGAGCATCTAGGTAAATTATTTCCGCTACTATAGAAGTAAGGGAGAAAGTAACTTTTACAAAATTTTCTTATCACTGCCAGATGCAAGCCTCGAAAGCAATTAAATTCTATTACATGCTCGATTTAAATCAATACTGCAAATACGTGTTTTTGGCTAGCAACATCTGACGAGAATAGCAAAAGGGTGGGCGTCGAACTCGAAAACTTCGAAACGGACAATTGCGTTATCACGACAATACCGTGATTGGTATCATTCTATTCGTTCGACTAGTCCGCTGTGATTCTATTTTCGATAGCAAAAAAAAAAAAAAAAAAAAAAAAAAAAAGAGAGAGAGAGAAAGAAAAGAGGAAAAAAGATATTGATATCCGGACAACATTGCTTTCGATTTCAGGAAATTTCCTACGTGTTTACTGCAAAAGTGCTGGAAACGTTCATTTCCGGAGAGAAAATTTGTTGTATACTTGGTATTTTATACCTGCGTACGCATATCTAGAGGATGATAAAACGAATAGTCAAAGATCCCCTTAACCGCGGCTCCACTTATCCGTGATATTCTATTATCTCTAGTAAGTCTAACACGTTTCTGAAAGGAGTACTATAGCCCCATCCCCTATACATGTAAGAAACGTGGACTAGCCCCTCACCATTTTAAGATCCTGAGATTCTAAGGTTTTAAAACTGAAACATTCTATAAAATACGAAAATTGAAAATTTTAATATTCCAGTATTCTAATATTCTAAACTTCCAGGTTGTAGACCTGGCCTACCATATCAGAAGCTCCTAGTTACGTCGATATGAACCGAAGAACATCTCGTACACGTTATAATTCAATACATGTGATAGTCCGAATGAAGAAGCATAGGCGAAAGGTTAGTACACTGGTAATATACAAGACATCTCGACAGATACCTGGGAATTGGATTTTTATTCAGCTGTCTAGCGCTGGGACATACGTGATTCATCGTAATTTCTCACTTAGACCCAATGTGACTGATCGATCTGACGTCGAGCAACCCTCTTGCTGCTGATAAAACGCCGCTTACAGTAATGACGGATGAGGGGATTTCCCTTCTCCGCGGGTGTCACGAGCCTGCGTTTGTCCCTTTTAAATAGGTACTATGTAGGTATAGAACGTGCCAGACACATGTTAGTTTTCAATAGTATTCACTCTGATAAACACTTTGCGTGGCAGACTTCACATCTTCATTAACCCGAGGAGTACCGTGGCCAGATATGCATGTCGCTGCGGTTTAACGACGGATTTATTCGCTCAGAATAATACGTCTGCTATGATCTAACAGCGAATATATTTATTAATTAATAAAATTAGTTAAATGCTTTAGGAACACGGATTTAGCCTATTATTACAAACATCTACGAGTACAATGATCTTTTCAATTTCCGTAGATACCAATAGTCCCTTTTTTTACAGATTTCTATATAGTATATTAAAAAATTGGTTTGTGTACATACACCATCTATGTATGTACCTATAATAGTATTTTCATCGTCTACAGGTATGAATGGACCTTAAAACGTGTCACTTTCCTTGGTACTCGACAGCACGTACGCAGATCAGCCTTTTCCGTATGAAATCTCCATATTAAATCTCTCTGTCAAACGTTTCGCATTGCGCTCCAACGATTTATCACTAAATGCTTGCAGACGGCGATTGTCGCGATGCGATTTAAACGGTGCATCACCGTGAAATTGTTCGTTTCGTCGCGTCGCGTCGCGTCGGTTGCGGGGCCGTGAGATCTTGCAAAGGAGAATTTTGAGCGGTTTTAGATTGCTTCGGGTACTGGAGAACCCTTGGGAGCCTCTTTGAGCATGAAAATGCGTTTCGAAAGTTTTTAACGTGTTTGGGTCTTCTAGAGTACAACACCCTGGCATACTCAATTCTGTTTTCACACGATCTTGATTGAACCTGTTCCAGGAGAAAATAAAACTTGGACCTTCTTACTTGATTTATTTTAACCTGACACGGTTGAAAAATATAATTCTCTACAAAACTATAGGCCTACCTAAAGTTTTCAGATTTTAATATTGTCTAAATATCGGTATATTATTTCTATAGCTCAGTAAAGAACTACCCAAGTGTTACACTCACTTATTAATGAAACTTTGCCAGCTTGTAGAGCTTGTCGAGCTGAACACGCCTATACCCCGTTTTGTGGGAAGACAGCTAATTGTTTAAAAGATATTAACAATTACAGTTAGTTACTTCTTACATTCTGAAGTATGACAAACTCACACATACAATTCACAATCTAAAGATCCACGGTTTAAATCCTTGGTTCCCAACATTTTTGAGTAGTTCCCCTTGTAAGTGCTATCAAATACTTATGGGATAAATTGAATTAAACAATTAGAAAATAAAATTTTAAGAATGTTTTAAATAAGAATGGTACTATATTAAATTTATTTATCACCTTCTTACAATATATTTCCCATTTTATCATGTAATTTGTAATCATGTAATAACTATATCTCAAAAAATATCAATCCTTAATTAACAATTATTATTATTATAATATAGCTTACATATGGTATACATGTATAGTGTCCATTTCGTAGTAATATTTTCTGTAATATTCACAGTCTTCATTTCTCTCTTATTGTACAAGTATGGAAGTACATTTAACTCTCTTTGATAATGATATTTTTCTGATTAACTGTTCATTATAACTGGACGAAATGTAATCTGATTATGATTAGATGAAATCAGGTCAGTAATCTAGATTAATGAATAAGAGAGATGATCGAAGCTGTTGTAATCAAACAACATAATTAACTCAATCATCATTAATCACGGAATAATTACATTTTTGATTATGATTGAATTATTCATTTGAAAGTAATACTGATACTGTGAAGATTTTTGGAAATACATATCTATTTAATAATGAAAAAGAAATGAAGAAATAATTTCTTCACATTATGGAAACTAGCAAAAACTATTTTTTATATTTTTGATATAGGGGTATTAAGGGCAATATGAAATACTAGCGGATATCTTAATAAATGCAGTAAACTCTAGTTATATTGTCATGGATGAGATTGTTGGAGCCGAAAAATTTTTCATAAATTAAAAATTAGAATAGCTAAACAGCATTATGTAACACGTTGACCGTCACCCATATGTGGGACAAATTTCCATAGGAATTCATCGCTCATATTATTCTTTTCTTAGAAAGAAAAAATTCTTTTGCTTAGAGGATTTACTCTTTTGTGATTTACTAAGAAACATTTTATTTAATATCTATCACATTGGCCATTTTCCCTAGGCTTCAGAGAACCCTTAATATTTTAATGAATTATTCTTTCCTGTCGCATTAAAAAAATAAGAAAAAGATCGGGTTGTGCTGAATGAAATGCAACAAGAGTTTTTGATCGAAAAAAATTTTATTTCGACAACTGTCGCTCATAGCACATGATTTTTACCGTACGTGTGAGTGTGCCTCTCTTGACTTTTATTTTCTCTCGCTGGCGGTACGTAATCTGTTCCATTTATCAAGTATACGTTCAAAAAATGTGTAATCATGGAAATATAGGTACGCCTAGGTTTCTCTAAAAGGTTCACCTGTATGCGTGTTCTTTTTCTCGCTTCTCGCTTCTCGCTTCTCGCTTCTCGCTTCTCGCTTCTCGCTTCTCGCTTCTCGTTTCTCGTTTCTCGTAAAATAAAAGTAATATTTTTTTTTTTTCCCCGTTTAGTATTTTCTGCTATCGTGTTACCGCGCTGTAGACGGATTTCTCTTGTAACACTAAATTACACATTTGTACATCGTTAACATACCTTAAAAGTGGTTTTTCGTTCCATTCTCTCGTCACTATTTCATTCTCTTCTGCATACGCGCCACTCACTCCCTCGCTCTTCTTCGCAATGCTTTCTTTTCTTTGAGTTCACGTTAAACATTTACAAACTGTAAGATTTACGGCATTCCGTTTGCAGATTTACAATTCACACACACTGTGTATGTATACGTCACACACGGTTGTTTCGTGTTCTTCGCCGATTTTTTTTTATTAAAGAGTCTTCCTAGTGTTACGGTTTCAAAGAATTCAATCTCTTTTTTCTAGATTCTCTGGCAGTTTTGTGTTTCTATGTTTTTAAAATTGACTTGAAACGTAGGAAGTTAATGATAAAAGTTGAGCTCCTTTAATAATAAAGTTGAAAAAAATTATTATAAAATAAAATCAATTTATGCATATTAAAATCAGTTTTAATCACCTTACTGTGGCACTTACAATTAGACTGTGGAGTAAGAGCTCTATAAATTGTTATATGTATATTTATTTAACAACAACAACAACAACAACAGCAACAACAATATTTAATGAAGGCTGTTACTCCGTGCTTAAAAGTTATGAAATCTTTTTTAGATGGAAATTAAGAATCTTTTAATTTTGTTTACTTTCAGAAATGTAATAACTAATTTTATAAGAACCATTTACTTACAGATACATCTTTAAACTGGCAGAATCATTGTTTTAGCATTTAAAAAATGACTACCTATGTACGTATTCTTGAAAAGTTAATTATAAAACTTACAAAGTTTCAAATTTATATGCTATTTTAAAAAAATTTTCAAGAATTCGTTTTTAACCATCGCGCTAGCGAGACTCCTTAACTTCACTCTCGTCTTCGAACCCTTACTTTGAACCGTATATAGGGTATTTGTTATGCGCGAGAGGGCCGGATATGTAAGTAAGTACTCGTACTCTCGGGAAGCTAACCGTTAAGAGGGATCGAGGATGATGTAGAGTTCTAGAAACGAAATGCAACATAGCGGTTTGATCGGAACACATTGCGACCGAAGACCGTGAGTTCATCAATTTTTTTCCACTCTTCTTTCGAATTTCTCTGATATTTCTCAGTTAATTTGATTACACCATACCAATTTTCCTAATTCAGGAGACTCGATCAATCGAAAATAACCGATCACGCGATATCGTGGGCTGAACCGGTAACGTGAAAACGTTAAGGCACACAGCGACCAGCTCGTTTCTGGACCTCGATAAAAAAAAAAGAAGAAATATTTTACCTATTATTTTCAGTAGGTACGATTCGCAAAAAAAATAAGCAATAAACTGGAAGCGTGTCCTGTCGCGTTCTCTACCCTGTATCACGTATTATCGATCGTCTGGAATATATGATTCGATGGAACTAGTCAGTGGCATATTTCCTATATATATATATATTTTTTTTTTTTTTTTTCTTTCTACCTCATCACGAGTTCTAGGACGAACGAGTAAGAGAAAAGCAGCCGAGTCCGAACGATAGACGATAAACCAATCGGTAGCAATTGCAAGCACTGCACTGCATGCACTATCTCACCCTCGATCTCTCCCTGGTGCGCACATGTACATCGGGCACACATTCTCGAATGATTATTATCACGTATGTACGTTCACACGTATATTCAGGCACAGGGGGCTCTCAAGAGACACGTACGAACCGCCTGGGCAAATACGCATACACAACACAACACAACACAACACGACACAACACACACGCATAGACACAGGCTGATAACTGACCGATATTCGAAATTGGCGTTTTGGCTTACCGCTTACCACCAAGTGTCTAGATCAACATACACAGACTCACTTACGTAAGACACTAACGCGAGGCATGAGCCGGTCAACCAATCGAAAGCTCCACGTTTCAGTGTTTGAGCAATAGTTTATATTCGCTTGCAATTGGCTTACGGGCTTCCTGTGCTTACTATACAGTCTTATGTAATTGATTCTATTGGCTCCGGATAAAAAAAAAATTAAAAAAAAGAAAAGAAAGAAAGAAAAAGTAATAGAGATCGATCGATGACGGATACATTTTGGGATCGCGAGTTTCTCTTTGATGGATATGTAAACCGTCGATATGTATACGTATGATTATTCCTCGAACAGCGGAATCTGGATGAATCGAAACCAAAACTTAAATGTACAGGGCCAGTAAGATATAGCTATTACAAGCTATTATATCGGAAACTATCAGTTATCGATCTAATTCTTTTTTTTTAATTAATTAAATAGCTTTTATCAAAGTGGATAACATTTACTGGAACCATTTGTTGATATTCCTAATAGTTAACGATTAATGACAAAAGAAATGCTTTTTTTAATATATCATGTATTAGAGATACCGACTTACAAGCATTTTGCATTCGATTTTTTCTTGTAAGGGTATTTGAAGCACAATATAATGGAAATTCTATCTACCACAGATGAAGATATGAAAACTCGAATACAAAATGCTTGTCAGTCGGTGAATGCAACATTCACTGTCATTAAATAACTGTCATTTACAATATTCTGTTTACTCTGACTCCATAGTAGGTATGTTAGAAAAATTTCTTCTACCATTTGATTGAAAAAAGGAATTAGGTGAAAAGCTGGTACAGTTTGGAAAATAATAGTTTGTAACGCGTTATCTGACCCCCAAGGAACGGTGTAAAATTTCGAATAAGATTAAATGAAATGATCCGCCGTCCAAGGGTTAGCGACACAGACACTGAAGGGCTTGAATTCCTCGATGACGTTCGAATCGATATCGAAATAGGCAGTGTAGTTACACGAATGTATTTTTCAACATTTTCTAGTCTCTAAAGTAAATCAATTGATCATCGAGAGAATTGTAACGGCGGATCCCGAGGTGTAGCCGACGTGATACGAGTATTTCACACTCTATCATTTCCGTGAATTTTCGTCTGAAACACGAACGTCAATAACTATCCGTTGCGACAATATCGGCTCGTGTGTCGCCCTCGTTCGTTATCCAAAATCTACCGATCGATTCTACGTGCTCGATCTTACTCGAATTTTTCGTTGAGTAATTTGTATTAAATTAAAAATGACACAGTGATTCTCGTACGATCGACACGGTCGTGCTCGCATCCGATCTAATCGTCTAATTACATTCACGAAATTGACTAGAAAATCCAAACAGGGCAATAGAAATCATTCTCACGGTATCATCGTTCTATCTACACATCCTTTGGAACATGCACTGCAGTCTTCGTGTTCGTTATATGTATTAAGATAAAACTCTTAATTTTTTTAAGTTATCCCTAATCTGTTTCTGTTACGTGTTCCATTCTCTCCCCCGTATTCTTAGCCATTGTAGAAAGTATTACCCGTCAACATTGTGCTGCGAGACCGGTGAACGACGACAATGGCTCCTTTCTCCCAGGGCGCATCATCGTTTCGGTCGTTAAGAACGTCGTATCTCCTTTCTACACGTCGGACACACGAAACGCCTTTGAAATAATCGCGTCGAACGTTACTTGACGTAGCAGGCGGAACGGCAATTCAGTTTTATCGATCAATCCTCGACGGAATCTTCGTTTTATGTGTTCCGTGGATTAGTCACGACGACACCTTCAACTATTTCATCGACCACCGTACGTAAATTTTGCGACAAGTGGACGTACGTTTCCACCATTCGTACATACATACATACATACATACATACATACATACATATATATAGAGTATATCTTGAACCGTTTCATCGATCACTCCCCTCCCACCTCACCCGTTCTATCTCTCTCTCTCATATACAATATGTATATATATATATATATATATAATATGTTTATGTATACGCAATCCACGTGACAGGTCGACGTCCGTGTTCATCGATCAACGCGACGGATTCCTTGGAATTCAGTATTATTCAGAATCGTTCACTACCGCTCGTCCGGCACTGGACAGGACGTCGCTCAACAGTCGGTGTCGTCCTGGTGGCGTCTACGAAGCTCCAGGTAACGGTGCCGGGCGTCGCAGTAATGAAGCAGCGGTACCTAGACGTCGGTCCCAGTCCCTTCTTGATAGCCCTCGTCGGGAGAGCTACGCGTCGAACCAAGGACACGTTTCAGCGCGGATACAGGAGGTAAAACCGGCGCTCCCTTTTGCCAAACTCGTATCTGCTTCGCGCCAGGTGGAAACTGCTCAACTATAGGCGCCACTACAGCGAGGGTCTCCTTCGAAGGATACGTGCTCACTGGCACCGCTGTTCTGCACGTATCCCTCGCATCCCACAGGCAACCCGAATAAAGGATCTTGGCGTCGTCCACCACTTCCATGCGAGTGTAATCCGCTCCACCATACGGCGTAATGTCCTCAGCCGATCCGCGGTGTGTATCCCTGATCAGATCGGGATTGTCGATCGGCATCAACGACGTGGTCGACGAGAAACAACCGCTCGGCGCCACCATCACCGACGATTGTTGACTATGCTCGTCGAAATTTCTGATCGAAGCGTACTCATTCTCCGCCTGCAAGGACGCTTGCGGTCTTTGAACGTAGCTGAGATTTAAGGACACAGGTGGCTTCGAGTCCACACCGAACGACGTGGTTTCGATCTCCTCGTGCTTTCTACGGCTGGTAGACGTCGCGGATGGCGGGTTCTCGTTGTTACCCCCGGTGTTATCCGCCGATGCCCCTTCCGCAGGCACCGCTGATTTAACGTCCTTCAAAGGCATTTTCCGAAAACGAATGAACAGCACGAGAATGATGAGAAGGATGAAGAGAATCAAGACGACCAGAGCGGCGGATATTCCAGCAATTTGACCAGAACCGAGAGTCGACATGCCAGCGGTTCTCAGAGACACGTGAAGGGTGAAATTGGCCTCGACACTGCCCGCACGATTCTCAGCGACACAATAGAATTCGCTAGAGTCCGATTCCTGGGCGTTCGTCAGTACCAACGTGCTCCTCTTCCTGAACTGACCTTCCTCGAAGATCAAGATCTTCTGATAGCTACTGAACGCCGAATGGTTGGTCAGCAGTCTCCCATTCCAATACCACTTCACTTTAGCCGGTGGTATCGCGCTAACCCGACACACGATACTGGCATTTTCGCCTATCGTCGCCTCGGCGTATCGACTGGCTATCAGGAGGATCGGACGACAAGCAAAGTCGTCGATACCTAGATCGGTGAACGTACGGTTCAATAATTGTTTCGGTCCGTGGCAAATTGGTGCCTGAAGAGTAGGCAGGTTGTGCTTCACTAACCACATCTTCATCTCGCGTAGATGACAGTCGCATATCCATGGGTTGTCATGAAGTTCTATACTAGTGAGTTTGTTTAAAGGCTCGAAGGTGCCTGGATGAAGCGTCGACAACTGGTTGTTGTTCAGTTTCAAACTTTCCAGTAATTCTAAACCTCGGAAACCTTTCGGTTCGATCTCGATTAGCTGTGTGTTAGACAGATCCAGCTTGACCAAATTCGGTGTACTCTTGAAGGCGTGCGAGTGAACCCTCTTGAGAGGATTGTTGGCAAGTACCAGGTCCCTGAGAAACGGTGTATCCGTGAAACTGCCACTAGGGACTACGGTTAAGAGGTTATGACTTAGATCGAGCTCAACTAGATTCGTAAGGCCCGCCAGTGCTTCGCTATCGATTCGGTCGATACGGCACTCGCGTAGGTAGAGACGCTGTAGATTCGTCAACCGTACACGTACGAAGATGTTGCTCGGCAAGGTCCGAATGTCGTTGCCACTAGTGTCCAGTACTTGCGTCTCCGGATCGACCCACTCCGGTATGCTAGTCAGGGCACGATTTATACACTCGACCGTACGCTTCCCGCTCTTCCACTTGCAGGAACACTCGTCTGCGCACTTGTCGCTCGTTACGATGCCGAACAACGTCGTCGCGTAAAGTAAAAGTACCGAGATTTCCATGGCGAACTTGTTAATTTTATTGTCGATAGGTGGTCCTAGTTTCGGTAAACGCTATCCTCCCCGATTCTCTTCCTCGAGGACTAGCTTCACCAGACGCATCAATAAACTAGAAATCTTTTCCCTCTCCCAAGAAAATTCTTCTTCAACGAGCTTACGCCCATTTTTCCTGTTTATCTCCCAGATATCTTCCGTCACTCGTGCTCTTCCTCTTCCTCCTCCTCCTCCTCCCCCCCCCCCCTCCCTCCCACCCACCCTTCCTCGTATTCGATAAGACTGCCTCAACCTTCCTAACAAAGTTTATGCGAACCCTCTTCCCCGTATTGTTTTTATAATACACCACAACGAATTATGCACCACACTTAAAGGGTTCAGATTAAGCGGTCTCGGCTCGTCCATTCGTGAATCCTCCTGATTCGACTGGATAACCGAGCGAATATTCTTCAACTTTCCCCACTGATTCCCCGTCGCGGACCGGACTACTATTTTCGACGAACTCACGAATCGACGAAAACCTCCGGCGACTCTTTTCCTGCCTGACTTTTCCGTATTTGTCGGTACTTGTCACACGCGCGCGCGCACATTGAGATACACACGCACGTACGGGTAAGCATACACCACGAGCGTCCGTCGTTCTTACGTAAACCCGTTCGTCGATCAACGTGCACTTGCCGTGAAGAGAGCTTGTTCGAGAAACACCATGGAAGATAACACCCCGTTAGACGCACCACCGTAACCGACACCACGCACACCCGTCACGATAACCAAACTTTCTCCTTCTCACACTACGATGCCCGAGGCGTTGTCCGTACCAGGAGATCACCGTGTTTGTGTATATGTGTATCCGTCTATGTGCGTGCGTGCGCGCGCGCGTGTATGTGTGTGTGTATTTTTTCCTCTTTTTTCAATTATCACCGAACGCGCAAAACACTCGGACCGATAGCGCGGACGCTCGTCGTGAAATGAGAGACTATGAAAAGCCCGGCACTGAACCGATGAGATAGCCTCTGCTACCTTCTCTGTCTTTCTTTCGGTACGTCGTTGCACACTGCCAGGAGGGAAAACGCCGACGCGAAGTAGGGCGCACCCTTCTTCCACTCTGGCCAGACTATATACACAGGGTGTATACACCACCACCGTGATTCCGAGCACCCCTTACGGCGCCTTTCCTCTCCTCCAGCCTAATCCACCAGCATCCTTCACCCCCCTGGCGAGCCTGCTGTTCCCTGCGAATCCACCCCGTAACCCCCCCCCCCCGCCACTCCCAACCAGACAGCTCGTGCGCTTTCCACCAGCCAGCCAGCCAGCCAGCCAGTCGGGTAGGGGTCCTTTCCACTCCTACCCTCGCACCAACAACCCCACCTTCCTTCTGCCGTTTTCCACCCCTCTAAATGGATACACGGTGAGTGCGCGCGCTCGCAACCTACTACTTACTTGCTCGCCTCGGCTCCTCTTTCTCCAACCTATTCCACGTTTTCCTACAAAGTCTTCTGACCTCACTCCCATACTCTTCTCCCTCCGTCGCTCACTCCACTACTCTCTTTCTCTTGCCACCTTCAACCCTCCACAACCCTCCCTTTACGACGTATCGAATGCTACGTCACAGTGGCGAGATATACGGCTATTTCACAAAGTGGTTAAATGCACTGCCAGATTACGGTAGGGAGGGAAGGGCAGAGCAGAGAAGAGAAAGAGAAAAGGCCACCATCGACGGCTAACAACGGTGGCGGTTACGATATCGCCTATCGACTACCGTCAACTGCCAGAAACTCTCTCCCTCTCTTTCTATCTTTCTGCATCGCTTCTGGTTGCGATCGGCCCTGGAAAAGTCACTTTAGCCGTCTTTTCCTTTTTTTTTTTTTTTTTTTCTATCCTTCTCTCCCTCTCTCTCTTTCTGCAGATCTTCGTTTTCTCGCGTTTACGCTTTCGAGAGGTCTGCGCGTGCTTTCTCCATACCCCGGTTTCTCGTTCCTCCTTCAGACGGGATCTCCTTCCCTTTCTGTCATCCCTCGTGGATTTTATACGGAAAATGGAGGTATTCCTTCGTAGAGGAAAGTTAGGTTCGGTCGAAGAACTTGGCCAAGTGGGCGGTGGGCGGATGGTAAATCTGCCTACAACGAGAGTAAAGGTGACATTGCGATAGAGAATGACGAAGGAAGGCCGGCAGCTACACCCGTCAGGCCGCGCCGCCCGACAGAATTTTCTCCCTGGAGGACCTTTTAGAGTTAATTGATCGTCTGAGCGATATATGTATACGCGTAATGCACCCTTAATGGACGCGAACCTTTGCCCACGTACGCGATCAAAGAACCCACCGCCAACGGTGTTCCATCATTGCCCGGTACAGCATCAGAATTTAACTATACACCTTAGCTCGAAAGTTGATGCACTCCATTTCTATTCTTGCGTGTCCTTGTGATCTGCTTCAGAGCATTTATCGATTTACGATGCCCACCAGTCGCAGGATATCCGGAGAGAGGAGAGGCTGTTGGAAAGAAAATGAGAAGATGGCAACGTGGGACCTCGGTTCCTTCTATTTAACCCTATCGTTATAGAACGTAGCTATAGTGATCGTTCGCAGGGGGGCGATAAATCAGTCTTTAATTAGAATTCTAAAAATTTTCAATCATTAAAGGTTTTTTTTTTTTCATACCTACAGCGGTAACGCCGAGTTTCGCACGTACATATCTGTCGCCTGTACTCGATGACACCGTTGCACAGTCCAGTGACGCTATTTAAGCGATTACTTAAAATCAATAGCGGTCGTTTATAGCGCGCCAATAAGCCAATAGTATAATTCTTACCCAAACGATGCTTTTCATTCGGCACGTGATTCTATACTAGTGGGTTTTATGGATGAGCAGACTCGAGGGGTGGCCAGTGGCCGACTTCAGAACAATCCTACGTAGTAAGTAAGTAAGTAAGTAAGTAAGTAAGTAAGCAGTTGGACGAAGCATCGAAAATAGACGGATAGTATAATTCTTATCCGGTACTTCCGGTACTTCCGCTTGTTTCAACTCTTGCCTGGTCCCGTAATACTCCCTCGAAGCTGTAAGGGAAGCTGCAGCTGGATTTTTACCGAATTGCTATGGGCTCTATCAGGCCCATATTTGGCTGGGTCGGTAGATTTTTCAAGTAGCTCGGATGTGACTGGACTAGACACCCATGCAGCACAAGCGTTAACACGATTGTTTCACAGATTTACAGTGTACGCCCGGCACCGTGGACAAGTATGATCGAGGAGCGAGAACTTATCACCAGTGGTCATTAATTGCCGGCTACAACACGTGTGTCCCGCCACAATGTTAGTCGTAATATTTCACGAGCGAGCTACTTGCAACGCGTCTTTACTCGAGATATAGGGGAAGAAATTCTTCGCCCAGCCTGTGGCATAACTGGCGTACCTATGTTTTCGAATGCGGTCAATCATGTGTTTCTACATACATACATACATACATACATACGTACACTATTTGTACGTACACTGATGATTAAAATTATAAAACATATACAGGATGTCCCTTTGTTTTCTGCATAACTTATTTAAATGGCACTGTGTTATAACTGATATCAAGACGAATTCAACGACCCCCTATACCTTGATCTCGAAATAACCTTGTGAATATATGTGGAATATCACATTTATTCTTGGCACAGTAGGTACTTGATTAGATATGCATCTAATTAAGTTTACACGAGCTTTATCTACTACTCCTAAGTACTATTCCATTTCAACACATTGACGTTTTTTATCAACATAAGATCAAATTTTTTCCTACAACACGTGTTATATGATAATCAAAAATTTCAATAAAATGACAATTTCTTTATTGTTTATCGATCTGCTTTTATCCCATTGTACAGAGAAGAGTCTATAGGTACAATCTGGAACAAGTCACGTTTTTTTAAAACATTTTTTTCCAATTCCAATCAACAAAGAGGTATAATTTGTTCCAATTGCGTTCACTGCTCTGTATACCATACACTTTTTGCAATTAATTTTTGATTTTCAACAAGCGTTGGGATTGTCGCAAAATCAAATAAATATCAATTATACGACTTTCGAATTAATTCGAATTCATTATTGGACCAATTAATGGATAGTTGGAACCTTTTTTGTTTTAGACAAAAATTAACTATCTATTTTTCTGTACACCGTAAGTTAACTTATTTATTTGAAGTAGCAATATAATTTTTGTCAGAATATAAGACAAAATCTTTTAAACGTCGATACATGACAATAATCGTAAAAAATAGGTTCGTTATAATATGATTGCCATCTTAAATAAATGAAAATTTGAAAATTTTATTCATTCAACCACTAAGGGATGTTATAAATTAATAAATATAATTACCAATGTCACTCAAATGTATTATTAGTCCGTGTTCTTTAGGATACAATTATTTATGCATGTAAGTACTTGTCATAACTCCGATCAAATCCATTAAATTGTATATTAGTGTATCAACGATATCATGAAGATCCATTAGATAATTTTTCAATTAACGGTAAAGTTGTCATTTCCTTTGCTGTAAACGAATTTGCTTGGAAATATTTTTAAAAATTTTTGAATTCATTTTCTCTTTTAACGAAGCCGGTTATATTTTCACATAGAATTACGTATTTACTTTCTTCTGGGTTGTAAACTACCGAGGAAAGTAGGCTTCCCGATGTGGAGAGAAGTGGGCCCAAATATAATAGAGGTCTGTAACTTCCTACTAATTGTAAGTACTTACGTGTAAACGTTCACGCGGAAAAATTTGTATCCATATTTCTTAGTCATATAATAAATTATATAGTATAAGGAATTTTTTATTTCCAATTATTGTTACAAATAAGTGACTTACAGTAATTAGTAAAACTGCAATATTAACAACAAAACTATTGTTCTTTGTTACTTTAATAGATAAGTACTTCTACAATCTTGTAATTAGGAAGTACAAAGGTAATGTATCATTTGTTTTCACAGGCATAAAAATTTCATGTTAAAATGGGTTAATTGCAGAAAACCTTCAAATCTTCAAAATCACTAGCTATGAAATTCTACAAAAATTATTGAAAATATTGACCTCGTTGTAGGCTACTTCCGTAACTATATTTTTCTAAGTGGCAGTTCATGAATTTTTACATAATATTGATTTTCAGAATTATGAAAACAAACACATACATACATATGTTCAAGTACTCGCATACTCAATGAAATTCCAAAGTTGTTTTAAATAAAATTTATTCTAATATTTCGTTTTTACTAACAATAAGAATTTTAATCATCTTGCATATTTACTGTTTAAATATTCAACGATATTTCATCATATCTTTCTGACGGAAGTTGTTGGAAATTTTGTTGATAAATAAATTGAATACAAATGGAAATATTCTATAGTATCTTATGGACTGATTTAATCTAATCCGCTTAAGTGACACTTCCAAATTCACTGGATAAAGTATTTACTTGAATACATCAACGTATTCCACGTTCGAGTAAAGCAATTATGTAAGGACAACTGAAGCTATGAATTCCAAAATAGCACATACCAACCACCAACCAATCAGTATTTTAATTAACCATTTTCATTTTTTTTAAAAATATTTTATTGTTTACATTTTAGGAGTGAAATTTTGGTGCTATTTTAAATATTATTTGATAGACATAAGCGTAAACTAGAAATAATTATATTAATAATAATTAATAATTATAAGGTTTCAGAAAGTAAACTTTTGCGGATTTGGAATTTATGGTTTCAATTTTGAGCTTATTTATTGTGTTGATCAAGGCTACAAATCTAATTAACTAACAACGGAAGTATGAGAGACCTTTGGGACACTGATCTGGTTTAAACTTTGTACAATTACAAAAAACCTGAAAAATAATAATTCTGCAAAATCATAGCACGCGCTTCTTTCAGATAATAAAGAAATTTATGTCCATAAAATCCACTAGAACCTCCTGGAAAGATTAGATTAGTACCTATTTAGTTTTTCATAAATATGAAATTGTTGCATATTAAACGTCCGTTTTATATTAAAAATATTGGAAAAACATTTATATAGTTATTAGGAAACTTTAAACTTCAAATTAATATAAAATAAGTTTTTTGTAATCAGATTCGGCATTTGATATGTATCTATGTATGTAATTCAAACAACTCACTATACATATACATATTAGGAAATCATTCGACGTGAATTTCTCTCTTATTTCAGAGAGATGCAAGTTTCAAATTTTGCAAAATTATTATTATTATTATTATTATTATTATTATTAGCGACTCACGTAATTGTACAAAATTTAGGCCCACTGTTACTTTTCTTAAAGAACAAAAATATTTCTCTGTGTAACGCTGAAGTAAAATAACTAAAGATGAAAGTAAAAGCGTAAGAAACCTAATATAATTACGATATTGGTATTATAATAATAAAACAAAGATACGGCACGTGTTGAATAGGATAAATGGATAACAAATATACCACATGTAATGAACCGGAAATTTTATTAAGGACCAAATTTGCTTTGCTATTTTGTTCCTTTTGAAAACAAATTCATTGACATGCGTTTTTTATTCTTTTTTCTTTTGTTTTTCACCAAATCGGGTCTGCGCTTCGTAGAAATCAAAAAAATAAATAAAAAGGGTTCTTTTTTGTAGTCAGGGCACAAACCTATCTTGACAATTAACAAATAAACATTTTATGTTCCTGGAATAACAAATAATTTTTTCGATCGTTGTTCTCGCATAACAACACAAACAGCTAGGTAATTAGAAATGCTTTCTTTATAATCCGAAAAAAGAACATTCAATCAACGCATACATTTTCTGTTTCGACCAATTGTAAATTTTTATTTCTTTTTCTTTTTATGCAAGTCGAGCAATACCGCGTGTTTTTTTAATCTGCAATATCTATTGGTTCTATGAATCACGAAATCTTCGAGCACACATACTTTGTGTTTAAAACATTAAAAAACAAGTGCATAGTAATGTGCGACTTGCATTTACAACACACGGAGTTTTGTAGTTCCAATGGACTTTTTTATGTCAGTGAATAAATCGTTTTCTGTTCGAACATGTCACAAAAGAATTTCTTTCATTATTCGCAAACACGAAAAAACAAAGTGTAACTGTATATGTGTACGATTGCAAAACACGCGTATCGAATGTACCGTTATCGTAGAACATTCAGTGAAATCATTTTTTTTTTTTATTATTTTTTTTGCTAACGAATTACAATAATCATTATGAGATTGAACATTTACGGTACTTTTTCTGTTTCAATGGCGCTTTTTAATTTTTTTTAAATTTTTTTTCTTTTTTTTTTTTTACTTTTTCTTTACTTTTTTTAAATACATTTTTCACGTATTATTGGAGATTTTGTTCCAATATGAATACACGAGCTGCTTGGAATTATAAAATTATTTTTTCTTTCACACTGGTTCAAGGCCAATCAAGTTTTCGTCTATCATGAAAACGTGTTAATTTAGAAACTCTAAAAATTAAATTTAAAGGGTGCAGCTCGTTGCATTGGACTTTACTTCCAATGCGAATTATAACGAAGGTGTAAAACTGTTGATGTAATGTTTCACAGTTTCACGAAGGTGTTCTATCCTTCGCTTGTACGAATTCAATCGTACATATTCATTTAAAACCCTTACCGATGGTTGTAAGGGTTTCTTAACATAATATTCTAAATCCAGATGTTACAATCTCATTACCAGCTTAACACTTTTCTATTAAAAAAGTGCTCACGCAAATCATTTCCACATCAAGGCTATTTTACTCTCCAAGATGAGGTACAGGAACATCACTTGGAAATTGTGTCTACGCGATAGACATGAAGAAACTTTCGCGTTAACGTTAAAGAACAAAATTTGTTTTGATCGTATGGGTATAGCAAGAACTTGCAATATTTAATTTAAAAAAAAAACAAAAAAAAAAACAGTAGTTATATACACGTGTATACGTATCTTAAGATTTCATAAATGATTTTTAAATTTCATAATATAAATTTAAAGTTAAAAACACTTGTGAGTTTGTGAATGCAACAGATGTGAATTTTTTCTTCAGTCTATACGCATAGCATTGCATTTAGCAATGTTTTCTTTCTTTTTACTTTATCACCCGACTTCTACTAGAGATTTATTTCACGCAGAAATCAATCTTTCAAAAGAGCCAAGATAAATACAATAATGATTGATAGCCATATTTCACAGCATGAAATGTAAAATCACTCTGATGACGTATCTCAAAACAATGGTTAATATTCGATTGTAAAAAGTCATCGTATAAACAAATACACGCGTGTTTGAGAGTTACATTAAATTATTAGGCACAATTTCATGCGGCTTTCATGTGAAAGAATGCTTTCTGTGGGCGTTCATCTTCATTGACCTCCATTAATCTAACTCGGCTCTTTTTAAAGACTGACTTAAAATATATACCTCACAAAATAGATTCCGTGTAGGATATCTAATGGTGTTTTAAATTAATCATTCAGTAAGACCGAGAGAACATTATTTTTCCTAATCTGTACAACTTCACCAAGAGAATCGTAATAAACTTTTACAAACACGCATATACATGCATATGTATAACACAAAAATGAAATTTTGTAGCGAATACGAAGAGTATTTCCCTTGCTTTCAGCCTGCTTGAAGAACTGACATCCAAAATACTGTGTTTCTTCGATTATAATGTTCTCACGTTAAAGGAAATGATAAAATACGAGATAAAGAGAGAGAGAGATAGAGAGAGAGAGAGAGAGAGAGAGAAAGAGAAAGAGAAAGAGAAAAAAAGAGATTATACTGTTACATTGGAACGGAATTCATATGCGATTTTACTTCACGAAATGTGTACCTTCGGATCGGTGAAAATTTGTAACATCGCATACGAGCAAAAAAAAGTTAATAGTTGGTAAAAAGATAGAGCCACAAAGAAAACACTCTGTTAAGTGTTTCTCTAAACTGTTATAAATACAACGCTTACGTAATTATTATTTCGATTGATCTCACTGCCAATTTTTTGTAAACTATTATCTTTTTTTTTTTTTGTTTTCCTTCCATCTTGAAATCTATATTCCAACGTGGAAGAGAATGTTTTACACATCAATCCTCCTTATCATTAAATTGGCTTTCTCCTATCGTTCCAAGCATCATAATGCCTGATTCTTGCAACAATACGACAAGTGTTTTGTGTTACAATCAACTGTTCTGAGATTTTCTAATATTAACGACTTCTCAAATCACATATTCCTTTTCAAACTGGCAAAGTGCAAACCGAATGAACAATGTCTTCTCGCACTGTTTATAAGTTTACATGTATGTGTGTATGTTTACAGAGAGACATTTCCAACGTTGAAACCTCGTATGGTATCAAATGATAATCTGTGTTAGCAAGAAAAACGGTTTTCAATGCTTTAGACACTATATAATACTAAAAATCACAGCATTGATGCTCAGATAGTGACACAAGAGAGAGTTTCATGAAGTCATTTAATCAATAATTTTACTGCATATCATTTAATAGGTTAAAATGATGAAATGTTTGTGCAAAAAATGCATTAGAAGAATTTCGTTATCTTTGATATGCACACAAGTCAATACATACAACTCTCTTAACAAACGTTTGTATGGAACTTCGAATATCGTTCCTTGTGATTCTGATGAACATGTGTCGTCTATAGAAGTCAATAAATTTGGTAAGTAAACTTGTATACCTGACATCACATGGAACTATATTGATCTCAAAACTTAATATATTGTGTTTCTTTTGCAAAATACACGTATAAAAGCGTCCATCAATTATTTATAATGGACATTCGAGATCATAATTAATTAGATATTCATATGACGGAATCTCAAGTGTTTACACTTTCTGTTCTAGCAGTCAAGTATGTTTTTGTTTATCGTTGTAAGACATGTCTCCTGGTGTCTCCATCGGTGAAGCAAAATATCCGTCAAAACTGATATTATAAGTATAGAAACATTTTAAACCGCTTTTCATCGCTCTTTTGAATTTCTTTTTTTGCTTCGAATATGAAACGTTCTACTATTGCCTATTAATGTATACGCACTTCGTTCCATTAACCTAGGTCGTCTTGGCTGGTGGTCCACTTCATGTTCACGGGAGAATAATTAATCAAAATTTATAAGGAAAACTACATCTTATACGCTTTCGTGTTTTTGTTACATTTCGTACACGGATATCAAAAAGAGAACTAAGAATAAAAAGAGATTCAACGATGATATTCTATTAAATTTTGGCAGTTTGCTTTTCTGTTGAAAAAAAAAGAATGATATACTAAGATTATGTACACTTTCTGTTTACTTCTATAGATTTGACTGAACATAATATGTTTTCGGGAGTAACGAACAATCATCGCTGGATTATTTTCTTACTCGCACGTTGTCGATTTTGAAGTATAACAGACACACAAGTGTTCAATAGAAATCATACATTGAATCCCTGATGTTCACAAATGCCACCAGCCAGTTATTTATAAAAAATAATTATATAAAACTAGTCAATTTTACAACCTCTGACGCCCAATCACAATTTCGTTAAAAAAAAAAAGAAAAAAAAGAGAGAGAGAGAAAAAATAAAGAAAAAAATGAAAGAAAAACAAAAAGCAAAATCACAGATTAAATCTAAATAAAAAGTCTCTATTACCACTTTGCAGGAAAAAAAAAAGATTCTCGTATTGATTTTTTTTTTTTTTTTTTGAAAAGTGAGTTGAATTTCAGAGTTGTACAACAGCATTGACAGGTAGCAAAATCAAGCCATGATCAAATGTTAAGATCAATACAATATTTAGAATTTGTGATTGATTGTATATTTTAAAGAGAATTTATATGCAAGATATGGTGATGCAAAAGTAGCAGGCACGTGGATTAATTTACAGATATTCGTAAACAGTTCAAATGCGAATTTAATTTCGTTATGGCTGTTATCCTTTTTTCTTTGAATCTCACGTGCCGTCTCATTTTGTTTTTTTTATTTTTTCGTTTTCTTAAAGAACAAAATAAAGAGAAATAAAGATCTCGGAAGTATGAAGCCATTGTATAAAAATTTACTATTAAAATGATGGATACTCTCATGTAATATTTACAATTGTGGTAAAATGTAATGATTATTATGTTACTCATGTACTTGTTTACATATTGTGCTCTTGATAATGGCTTGACTCTGTCGCGCACTTTAGATTATGTACATTTATATGTATTTATGTACAAAGAATGACTCGCACCGGCATTCGCATCACTTCATTCACTGAGTTCACTGTTTCCATGCTCAGTATGCCTTATTTACAAGTAATTCAAGTTTTCGCTGTTTTACTATGATCTTAATTGAAATTTTCAATTTTTTTTCTATAATAGACCACTTTTTTTTTTTATCTAAATGTTCATAGCACTGTTTCGTCTTTATACACCGTTAAACACACAAGACAATACTTTTTCAGACTGAAGTAACGTTTCACTCTGTGAGTTCAAAGCATAGCAATGTATGCCTTTTATGTACGAGCCACACAATCACCATTTTACACTTTAAACTCTTTGAGCGCATGTAAAACATCGTAACGATGTATCGAAACTACTTGGACACATTACCCTCTTCCATACTATTGTTGTCTTCTGGTCTTGCTACGTACAAACTTGGATCTATTACCTTTGGAATAGGTTTTATTTCTGTTCCAAGCTCTTGTTCGATACGATGTAAGTTAAAACGATCCTCGTATGTGATTAGGTTAATAGCTATACCTAAATGACCGAATCGTCCTGATCGGCCAATACGATGCAAATATGTCTCTGCCATTTTTGGAAAGTCAAAATTGATTACGACGTTCACTGCTTGTACGTCAATACCACGAGTAAACAAATCACTGCTCACCTGTACATATATAAATCATGCATTTCATACTTGCACTTTTCTTCAAACAGCCGGAAAATAGTTGAAATGATACAAAGCAACGAAAAAAAAAAATAAAGAAACAATTTTTTCATATTCGGTTCATACTTACCAAGTTTCTGCATAACCCTGCTCGGAAATCATGAAACACGCGATTTCGGTGTGCCTGCGCCATTTTCGCGTGTATGTAATAACAGCAGTATCCAAGATCTGTTATTTTTTTCGCAAGTAATTCAACACGTTGCGTTGAATTGCAGAATATTATACTTTGTGTTATTTGCAACTGAAAGAGTAAAAATCAAATTAGGCGGCAATCGAACAATAGTAACTTAAATGAAATATCTATTTATTTTACAATATTGAAAGTTACCTTGGAAAACAGTGTATTCAGACAATGAACTTTCTGTCGTTCTTGTACAAAGGCATAATACTGTGTTACGCCTTTCAATGTGAGTTCCTCCATTAAATTAATCTCATATGGATCTCTCAAGTGTTTCTCCATGAATTGTTTCACCGTCAGAGGAAATGTGGCTGAATACAGCAGTATCTGACGTTCATGTGGTAATCTAAAATTAAATGTAACACATGAAACAACCATGTAATAAAGTATACAATTTTATAATTAATTATGTTTGTTACATACCTAGAAATGACATGATCCAACATTCCTTTAAAATCTTGCGACAGAAGCTTATCTGCTTCATCCAAAACTAGAATTTTACAGTGATCCATATTCGCAACCTTCTTGTCCATCAGGTCAAGAATTCTTCCTGGCGTTGCTATTATTACTTGCACTAGAAACAAATTACATCGCAAGCGAGTTATTTTTCACCCTCAGCTTTTATAATTAGTCCTTACACAAAAGTATATTTATAATACCAACCTTTCTGATAAATCCTCATAATGTCATCTCGTAAGTCTGTTCCTCCAGTAGTGACCATTACCTTTATGTCCATGTGTTTTGCCAGTTCAATGCAGATTTGTGATGTTTGAAGAGCTAATTCTCTAGTGGGTACAATTACCAGTGCCTGGATCACATCTTTTCGTGGATCAACCTAAAATAATAGATTATAATAAAAGATCATGGCAAAATTTAATTCATAAAGAAAGAATTTAAAAGAATTGTATACTTGATTTTATAATAGTAATAGTTTATATTAACGTATGTACCTGTTCTAACACTGGAATTGAATAGGCCCCAGTTTTACCAGTACCATTTTTTGCACGAGCCAAAATATCTTTTCCTGACAGTGCAATCGGAATACTGGCTTCTTGAATTGGGGAAGGCTTTTCCCAGCCTTTTTCAAAGATGCCCATCAATAATTCTCGTTTTAGGCAAAACTCTTCGAATTCATTGCCACGAGTATCAGTAACATCCTATAAATTTTTACAGTTGTTTTAATTACAAATTTCATGACAATCAATCATAAAATAACAACATAATTGAATTTATATAATTTTCTTCAGATATATTTTAAAGTAAAAGTAATATATATATATATATATATATATATATATATAAAAATACAAATTTTACAATTAAGGAAAAAGTCATTTTTATTCATGACTTACACTAGTTTTAATTCGTTTGTCCTTTGGTGGAATTTTTAATTTGGCTTTCCAACCTACATCATCCATTTTGTCTATTTCTGATTTGGTATTCAAACCAGAATTTAAAACATGATTGGAATTTATGTGTGTTTCTGTCATCATTTTGGAAATGATGAAATATTATCTATTTTCTGAAAATAAATTTTTGGTTACAAACAAAACATAAACCTTAATGTAGAATGAAGATTTAAATTTAAATTAATATTTAAAAATTTTCAAAACGTTTATTTAAATAAAGAAGAAAATATAATAATTTTATTACAATGACGAATAACAACAAAAATTAGAAATTCAAATTCTGAACTATATGATCCAACTGAAACTGCTAAGTGTTTATAGGACAAAAGGCAACAATAGATTAAGTGACCTATTGAAATGCTCACAATAGGATGTAAACATTATACATATCCTTATTAGAACAGAACTAGTTTTTACATATTTCAATCTTACAGGAAGGTTTATAAAGGTTCTTGTTGTTACTGGTTAGCTGTACTGTTCATAAAAAATTTGAATTCTGAAGAGCATATTACATTTGTAGAAATATTGATTTCAAAATTTACACAAACATTAAAATAAAATATAATAGAAAATACGTTATAAATTATGATTTGCATAAAATTAGATTTATAAACGAAAAATTAATATTATAATCATAATTATAATATATTTCAAATAATACAACAATTAACGTACACTATGACGATTGCAATGTATTTCATAATCTTTACATAACTTTTAACCGAAATAAGGCTCGTAACATTAAGAATTACTCGGAAATTACGTGAAATTTCAATGAAAATTGATTACTATTGATTGAGAACTAAAATGCGGGTAACTTGCTTATTTGGAAAGTTGACAATATATTGGTAATATTTTCGAATATTATCTGTATATACAAATAATAATTGAATTTCTCGATCTCAAATTAATGTTAATCACACATACGGTTTATACAGTACACATTCGACATACTAATAAGATTCGTCGTCCACTAGTCAATTTCAAGGCACTGCAGTACTAAATTGTACCATCAGACATTATAAGTACATATGTAGTACATACTGGAACATGATGAAAAACTGAACAGAGGTAAAACCATCTGTACCGACTCAATTTTTCTTTCAATGGTACAAGTTGAAAATTCGTCTGGATAAATATTTTTTGACATAACGGAAAGTGAAAATATTACAAGCAAGGAATTATTCGATCAACAAAAAGATCACAACTACGAAGCTACTTACTTTGAAATGGATGGATATCGATGCTGAACTGAGCACTCGATTAGGAAACAGCACGCCAAAATGGCCGTTCCAATGTCAAGTTTTCTTTGCAGTGCTTAACCGCCGCGTTCTTTCTTACGGAGCACTAGCACGGATTACTTGCTCGGAAAGTGTATCGCGTATTACGCGGCACTATATTACGTTCTTTTCCGTTTGTAATATGAGACTAACGCACTGCGTCAAATGCGAGCGATAATTATTCCTCGTTCAACGTACACGACATGCGCCATGAAAGAGTATAAGCACCCAGATCAGAAACCGTTAACATCGTTGCGCGCACTCTATGAATAATGGTGTCCAATTGTGTGGCAGAAATTTAAGGCGTGGTTACAAATAACTTGGAATTTACATTGAAAATTGTATGATTACGTACAAAAATTACTACATATGTATGTACATACATACATACCTCGAAATTTTGTTTCTTTTGTACATATGTATGTATACATACGGAAGATGAATACAAAAAAGATGGCACTGAAATCGAATAATTGTTCGAAACTCAGTCAGTCAGTCAGTCAGTCAGTCAGTCAGTCAGCTTAATGCTTTTTCTTTCTTATAGCAAGCAATTATTATTTAAATATAAAATTTAAATCTATCTTGAATTAGCGTTTCTATAGTTTAACATTTGTTAAATGTATGTATGTATGTATGTATGTACAATAGAAAGGAAAAAAATATATTCTTAAGGTATTATTAACAATAACGACCACATTTTGAATTCAAATTATACAGTACAAGAAAATGGAATATATTTAGTACATTATATTACAGATTGCTGTATACAAATGCATATGTGGTAGGTGAATAAAATTAATCTTTTAACCACAATTCTGTTCTCTTCTTTGAGATATTCTATATTTCCTACAAGCTTCAGGGCAATGTCGTTCTAGGTACCGTCTTTGTGAGAACGCTTTGAAACACTCACCGCATCGCCATTGCCATTGATGGTGATTTCGTGTCCTTTGATGAGCACGTAAATTTGATCTACAAAATACATAGATCATATTATGACACGATAATTGAATAAAATTATTTAAAACATTTTTAAGATGTACAAATAAAATATATTAATTAGAAAATATATAAATTAACACATTACGTATTGATCACGTGATGGTATTACCGAATGAAATAAAAATTAAAAAGAAGAATATATACCTGTCGGCGAAAGATTTATGGCATACTGGACACTCGAAAGGTCGTTCGCCGGTATGAAGGCGCAAATGGCCCTTCAGTACCCATGGCCGGTCGAAACTTTTACGACAGTAGGGACAATAATGCATTGTTTTGTTTCGTTTCCAGTTCTGATTGTTCTCGACACTTGATTTACTTATATTACTGTTGAAATACTGGTTTTGAGTAGGATCAATTTGCTTCTTGTTTGAATTCAGATACAATGCCTGTGAAGTCGTTTGGATCTCAGTCTCGTCGAATGTTCTGTTCAAATTGACTGCAACTTTAATTTCGTTGTTGCCCACATTCATGGGGTACTCTAGCTTCTTCGCGTTCGATGCCAACGGGATTTGCATTTTCTCTACCATTTGCTCATTAATCGTATCCACGATCTTTTGTTCGCCGTTAAATAAGGTATCACCAGTCGATAATGTGACGTTCTCTAATTCGGAGAAATGCATCCCTCCCAAGTCCCCCGTCATTTCTTTATTCCACAACATATTGTTTCCTTTGTTGAAAGTGTATCGTGTTACTATAGGTAGTTTCGATGATGTCCAAATGTTACTGCATTTCGAGGAACTCTCTTTAGCCTGATTTTTTCGCTTGGCGTCGACTGACGACGGTGGGGTCCATGGTAATTCAGACTCTGGGCATAATACGTAAAAAGAATATGTACAGATGATGTTTCATAAGACGTACGACTTACATTAGATAGAGCTGTATTTCGATATTTCGATATTTCCTAATAATAAACTGAGTTAGTACAACTGATTTCACTAAAGTCTAGTCTTTTAAACTTATTAATTTATTTATTTTACCGTACAAGTCAATTCGACACTTGATAATAATACGTTGACCTGCAGTCGATTACAAGTAATCAATGAGAAAATGGCAGGTGCCATTTTGATACTTATATAAATTTTACAAATGTAATTCAGAACGTTTGTCTGATAACAGAACATTTCAATTACAATGAAATTTTGTTTATCCGAACCGGTGAAAAATAAGATGGTTCAAATAACTGGGTGTGTTCGGATAATAGAGGAGTCCACTAGTTCTTACCACTCTCGTTCAATTGTTCTTTACAGACACAAGGAAATATTTCAATATGTATTCATTATAAGAATATGACTTTGTAGAACTGTATTCGGCGCTTGGCAGTTCAGATAATTGGAGCCAAGATATGAGTTGGTGTATTTGGACCGGGGAACATTATGAAATGGAGTAGGGATAAACGGAGTTTTACTTAAAAAATGAGTAAAACGATGGTAATGAATTACTAAAGCATAAAGATGGCTGTAATTTCGAAACAAGAGTAAATGTGACAGACGTTCAGAGGATATTAGGTATCAAGATCTAACACGAATAATTCAGACGAATATCAATTTTAAATGTTCTAATATCAAGGGCTGAAGTGGTCCGCGGATACGGGGGACACCGCTGTATTTACAATATTAGTTATTCGGAAGTAATAAATTTTTTATATAGTACATATGTATGTATACATATAGTTGAACATGTTTTGGACGGTTCCGTTTATTTTTGAACTGTATAACCATGAGATTGTCAATATTCGAACCAAAAATATGATTCGTCTTTTCAACAATAACAAAACGAAGTTGGATACTATTTTTTCCATAACCACGCCAATATTTCACTGTCGATTCCCGGTACACTGTATTTATGTACCCCGCGCTCAGGTAAAGTAGAAAACGTGTCTTACCTTCGGACGAATTGTTAGTCTTTCTGTATCTTGTCATCGATTTGATCAAGCAACGCGGCATGTTTTCGTGGGAAAAAACGAGCACAGTTTGGAAGAAAGAACGAAATATAATAAAGTGGTAGCCGTCGAAACAGCGATGGAGCAAACCACTGTCATACGGTCGAGAGGCATTTGTTTACTTCTTTACCAGTACTGTATCGTTGAAAGATTCACCCATAGCAAATATGTTCCAGATGATGAAACAGTAGAAAAATGTTCATTTTCCTATCTACATATGTAGGTAGAGGCCAGGGAGGGTTTTCTCACCTTTGGAAGATTTCAAAATTCCAAAATTCTAGAATTCCGAAATTGCAAAGTTCTAAAATCACAGAAAAGGACGTTGCTCACCTTAAAAAAAAAAGCTCCTAATTACGCTAATAGAAAAGTTAATTAAAAAAAACTATATATTTTCAGACTTTATTGCCTTTCTTCTTTTTATCAGTGTAACTCATATATGTATGTATGCATGCTTGTGTGTTTTAATTCATCTTGAAATTTGAATTTCTTCTTACAATGAAAAAATTGAACATTATACACAAGGTAGTACGGCATTGTTGATTAATATGGGCTGATACAGAATTATTTGAATTTGATAATTTTCTGTATCCTATAAAATATGAATAAATTTTTTAATTCATTTTAATTGTAAGATGAAGAAATGGTAGAAGATGACCAGGAAACGAATATGCAAGTTTCCAATTTTGATATCCTGAAAAATGAAAGGAAAAACGATTACAATATTTTACAACGATCGAAGCATGAAACGTCCGTTATAATAATTTTACTCTGTCTTCGTTCGTCTACATTGAATTTTGGAAAGGTCGATCGAATTTAAACTGAGCAACGTATAATAGAATGTGACTTACTCGAATTAACGATCTGTGTACCTAAGTTCTTATAACGGAACTGATATTGTATATGTATGTATAGAACTACTGGTATCACGTAAAATTTACTATAATTATTAAGAAACTTAAAAATTTATTGAGGGGTTTGAAGATATATGTACATAAATATAGAATTATAATGTTTCCTTTTCTTGAAAATTTCGTTCTCAAGAAAGTGAATTTTAATTAATTTTATTAAATCCTTGTTTGTATTTTACGTACAAATGTATGGAATGGAGTGGCTGATATTTATTTTGTTAATAATTAAATTAACTTGTTACGCATTGTTTATTAATTGTCAATGTTCTTATAAAAATTGAGTAGAATCTTTTATTTAAAAAATATAAACTTTTAATGAATTTTTACAAGATTGTATTACAGCCGAGGTCATTTTCTGTATATTTTTAGTTGGATTTTTAGTTATACAATATTCAATGAACCATGCAACTGTGATGATTAATTATTATTAAGTAAAATGAAATCACTAATTTATTTACTTATTTAATTTATTGCTGATTATATTTACAGATTTAAATATAAAATTTCGAATGTCACTACTGAATAATAAACCGAAATCTGTTGATACGTAGTAAATACGTTATAAGAGACACGTGTGTGTATATTCAGAGAAACAATTTCTTCTATAATTTCAGTACGCTCTCTGTATCGACCTTTAGTGCCTTGATAACAGTCGTAGTGGTAACAAGGATCCAACCGTTTCAATATAATCCTCGTTAGAGCAGTTCAAACTGAGAAAGTTTATTTCTCACATCTTCATATCATAGTGTACTGATTCACGCACGTAAGTATATTAAATAAATCTATATTCTTTATTCCTTTCTACGTTTATTAAATGTTCATTTTCTTCATTCGGCATTAACGAATTGATAATATGCAATAATAATTTTAATAAAATATCGGATTTATTCATAAATAAGTTCCGATATAAACGAGGAATTTATTTTAACTGATTCATTATTCTTCGAGGAAGAAATTATTAAATTGTAAATACATAATTGATTGAAACTTACTATATCTTTAAATCAAACTTTTAATTTCAATATGGAAACGACACTTATTTACGAATCAATCCGATATATCAAATGAACTTTAGAGCAAACAAAATTTTCTTTATTAGGAATAAATACTAATTTTAAGGGAATAGGTATGCTTTTTTATATTAGTTCAGAGCTTACTTTTTCATTCGCTAAATCTTCTTCATTCATCAGTGTTCTTATCGTTAGTTTCGACATTTGTCTAATATTTTTATAGAACATATTTTAATTTTGCTGTAACTATAGGGTAGTTTATCTAAAAAATTTGAATCCAAATTGAATATTTAAACATACATCATAGTATTAATTTAATATTTGCTAGAAAAGGATTTAAAAAAAAAAAAAAAATAAAATTATGAATTTGAGAAAGTTGAGAAATTAAATTTTAAAGAATTGCGCATTTATATCCCTAATAATTTTTATTGCAAAATTTTGTGATAAACTTTACCGTTTTAATTAACAATCAATCATGTACATATAACATTTATTTCTATCAGTTGGTCCAAGTATTGTGCTGAATTTTTCTATTAGCAATTAATAAATACAAATTCTATTATTCTGTTCAACTATCAAAATGTATATCAAAAATATCATTATCTGATAAATATGACAAAATTTATTTTCAGATAAAGTAAGAAAAATGATAAAATACTCAAGCGTAAATTTATAAAAAAAACTAGATAAACATTTCACAAGATTTATCTTTGCGGTTATGCAGTTTTCCGTTGCAATAGTTTTCTTTGCAATAATACTATAACTAAGGGCGTTCGATGAGTACTCATTTTTAAATTGAAAATAAAGTAAAAAAAAGAAAAATAAATAAATAAATGAATGAATGAATGAATGAATGAATGAATGAAAGATGAAACATAAACTAGCATATAAAATTGTTTTTTTACTACGACAAAAATTAATATACATTTGAACAAAAGCGGTCTAATACAGTGGCCCAGTCATAATTGTGAGACAGGGGGCCAGAAAAGTTTTTCTTAATACCTTATTAGCCCTATTAAGTCTAATTTCTCTCATTTTCATTTAATTCAGATAATATTTTCTGAAATTTTCATAAATGTTATTAAGAATTACGGGTACATTAGAGATAGATGGTTGGAAGCTGTATTATCAGTAGAGTCTTGATAGCTTGTCTAGCTTCATAGCTGGCCTGGTGTAATGTCGATTTGATCACTTTCCTGAGGTTGCCCTTAAAATTCAGTCTTCTCTTTTTTTGCGCGTATTTTCTGCATTCAATGATGATGTGGTGAATGGTTAAATTTTCGTTGCATATTTCGCAAGTACTGCAAAAGTATTTCGGATGTGTGCTTCTGATAATTTACTATGGCCGGTTCTGATTTGCGTTAGTGCAACTTGTTGTTACGTCGTAGAAATTGTAGTTTTGCCACATTTCATTCCAAGATTCTTACTACAAGGAAGCGATGTGCCTGTTGATATCTATGAACGTGCCAGGTCAGCCATTTTGTTTCCGAATATGTCCTCGTGAGACGGGATCCATGCTATTATTACTGTTTTGTTAAATTTCATCAGTTTATCGTAGGTTTCTTGAATTGCGGTATATGTATGTATGTATCTCGGTGGTTTGTTTCATGTTTTGTGTTTTCAAGATGGAGGACAAGGAATCGGAAAAAATGATAAATTTAGATTCAAGAGAGCTGAGAGAAGTGCGTATGATTCAGATGTATGGATACTGTTGAAGGGGTTCAGGCCATATTTAATTGTTTTATTATATTTTGCGTGATGACGGTAGTAGTTCTAGTTCAGCACTTATTATCCTTCGATCCGTAGTCGCGTCGGTGTAAACGTGGGTGAAGTTGGTATAAATGTTGAAAATAATTCTTTCCACTCCTTTGTATTTAGCTCTTCCTTTTTATTCCTTGTGAGTGGATAGGTCGATAACAGGTAAACTCAATGTCCAGGGAGGAGGTACTTTGTGGGGTCTGTTTTTTTCCATGGCTGGCAGATCGTATTGGAATTCGTCAAGATAGATTTTGATTCTATGGTGAAGGGAAATATTGCACGGTTGATAGTTTGTGTTACGTTGATTACTAGGGAAGCAGTCCTCGAAAGTAATTACTAGGCTTAACAGTTTTCTTCTATGCTTCAGAGACGTTTCGTCAGGTTCAATAAAATTACTTCTAATAGGGAAGGCTCTGATATTAACGTTAAGATTTCGATCGGGAATACGTTCGACTAATAAAATACCGAGAAATAAATGGAAATGAATTTGCCTAAAGAACAATTACTACGCGTCCCTTGCTTTTATGGTTCACGGCACAGATAGGAAAGAAATATAAAATTACTCGTGGACAAAAGAGAAAAGTGTCACTGCGAGCGCGAGATATACAAAAGCAGTCCTATTGTGCGAGAAATTGCGGCGAGTCGATGTGAACGTGTTTAGACCTGCAAATGTAATCGGCTCTCGCGACAAATTGCTGCGAGCGCATAGGAACTGTCGCGATCTCACTTGCAGTACTGTTTATATTGGCTATAGTTGCTGTCCGACAGTCTGTCAGACATTTATTGCAGAAGTTTTCTCGCGTATGGAAACACGGCCTTAGCCCGGTGTTATGGACTGTTTTCAAGTTTTTTGAGAGCATCTGTTTTGGCAGAGTTGTACATACATACATACATACATACATACATACATACATACATACATACATACATATATTATTGACGCGTAGTCTAATTTAGATCGGACAATTGCTATATAGGCCTGTGTGAGCACGGTTTTGTCCGCTCCCCAGTTGTTACATGCTAGTGCTTTTATTATTTTTATCCTTTCTTTACCGTTGTTGATGAGGTTACATACGTGTTTACTCCATGTAAGTTTCGAATCAAAGAGTACGCCGAGAATTTTAGTGCAAGTAACAAATAGAAGCTGGGTACTACCAATTTTTAAGGCCGGTACAACGCTTTCTTGGCGTTTAGAGAATACGATGCACTCTGTTTTCGTGGTTGAAAATTTAAATCCATTTGTTTCATACCATTTGAAAAGTTTATCAAGAGAGTCTGATGGATGAGCTGTTGGGAGGTGTTAGTGGATTTTCCCTTAAACATAAGATGGTAATGTCATCAGCAAATACTCTAGTAATTAATTGTTGGAAGTTGAGGATGTGATTCGTTTCTAGCCGGATCAAGCATTTCGTCTATTGTTTTA